ACTCACTGTGGGGGAGAAAAACATGTGAAAGAGAACTGTTGGGTTCTCTACCCTCATTTGAAACTAGCAGCATTGAGGAAAGAGAAGAAGCACCAGAAGGGCCATTCGGCAAGTGGTAACCTAGCAGCAAGTCACAGTGATGGAGGTTCCAAACACTCATCCATAGTTGCTTCCTCTTCTTCAGGATAGACTACCAGTTCCCAAGGACATGGGCCTATGGATTTCACAACTGATGAGGTAGAGGTACTTAGCTGGGCACTGGCCCGCCTAAGGACAAATTCTCTTGCTTCCACCTCTCTTGCCAGATCAGGTATTGTTTCAGCCTTTAGTGCAACTAATTCCATTGATCCAGCCTCTTGGATTATTGATTCCGGTGCAACTGACCACATGACTCACATGTCTTCCTTATTCTCTTCCTATCATTTAATGTCTGGTCAAGACAAGATGAAGTTTGCTGATGGTTCCCTCTCTATCATATCTAGGAAAGGAGTGGTTGACCTAAGCAAGGACATCTCCCTCAAATCTGTCTTACATGTTCCTAATCTCTCTTCAAATCTTTTATCTGTTTCAAAACTTACCAAGAACTTGAATTGTAGCATAACCTTTTTTCATACCCATTGTGTTTTTCAGGACAGTTTGACGAAGAGAACGATTGGGAGCGGTCATGAGCGAGGAGGCCTCTACTACCTGGATGCAGACATCGGTTCAGCCCTTCAAACATTTACTACTAGTGGCCAATTTAATGTGGAGTCATTATCTAAGCTGCACCTGTGGCATGCTAGACTAGGTCATTTACAGTTCTCGTCATTGGAAATGTTGTTTTCGGAATTGTTTCAAGGTGTGTCAAGTCAAAAGTTAGTTTGTGAAGTCTGTCAATTATCAAAACAGTGTAGAACTGTGTACTCAACTTCTAGTAATGAAATTCAAGCACCTTTTGACTTAGTGCATTCTGATGTTTGGGGTCYTTCTCCCATTGTTTCTGTGGATGGCTATCGATACTTTATCAGTTTTATTGACCACTATTCTTGATGCACATGGGTCTACTTATTAAGGACATGAGATGAAGTGCTGCGGGTAACCATGGCATTTTGCAAAATGATTGAAACACAATTTGGCAAGAAAATCAAGCAATTCAGGTTAGATAATGCTGCTGAATATTTCGAAAGATCCTTAAACTTGTTTATGGAGGATGCGGGAATGATTCACCAGTCATCTTGTGCTAGTACCCTCCAACAGAATGGGGTTGCTGAGCGCAAGAATAAACACTTATTGGAGACTGCACGAGCTTTATTATTTCAGCACAAGGTTCCAAAAGTCTATTGGTCTCAGGCAATCTTCACTACATCATATCTGATAAACCAAATGCCATTTAAGGTCTTGGGAATGAAGATTCCATTTTCGGTTCTTTGCCTTCATCTCCCCGTTTTTTCTCTTCCACCGAGGGTCTTTGGGTGTGTATGTTTCATACATGTCAARGATCCAAAGAAGACAAAACTGGATCCTCGAGCTACAAAGGGAATCTTCTTGGGTTATTCTCCTACTCAGAAGGGATACAAGTGTTATGATCTAGTCACCAAGAAAAGATATGTCACAAAAGATGTGGTGTTCTTTGTGTCTCAATCCTACTTCCAGTCTTCATCGAATCCTCTTCAGGGGGAGACTAGTAGGATGGAAGAGGACCCTCCGGTTGATTCTTCTATTCCCCATTTCTTTGCGCCTCTCTCTGCCTCGGATCTTCCATCTTCTCCTCTTGATCCTCCTAGTTGTGGTATCCCAGGTGAATCTAGTGAGGATCTCATTGGCCCAGCTACTACTAGTGATGTGGAAAATGTTACTAAAGGCTCCAACAGGCAGYAGAAAGATATCAAAGTTACCTACAATAGAAGGAAGAAGAGCCCTCCAACTCATGACAACAACCAATTGGACTYGGATCAACCTGTCTCAGTAACTCAAGGTAATCCTATCAATTCCTCTGACTTGGATCTTCCAATT